CAAGACTTCAAAATATGGAGGGTAGAATACCAGATGTTTTGAAATTTGAAGGCAATGTAGCTGATAATTATAATAAATTTATGCAAGCTTTTGAGATATATTTAGAAGCCACTGGAAAAGACAGTAAAACAGATTCAGTTAAGGTAGCAATCCTGTTAAATTTAATTGGACAAGAAGGCATCGATGTGTACAATACACTTAAATTAGGTGACACAGAAAAGAAAGACTATAAAAAAGTAGTGGCAGAATTTAAAAAATACTGCATACCAAAGTCAAACAAAATATATGAGAGGTTTGTGTTTAATAAGCGAAGTCAGAAGGAGAATGAACCTTTTGAGCACTTTTATGGGGATTTAAAAAAACTAATAAAGTCATGTGAGTACGGAGACCAAGAGGATTCAGTCCTAACAGACAAAATAGTGTTGGGAATAAGAGACCTTAAAGTACAGGAGAAATTATTAAATGTGGAAGACTTAAAACTTGATAGAGCAGCAGAAATTTGCAGAAATGCCGAAATAACTAAGGAACAAATCAAAATAGTAAGAGATGGTGAAAAAGTTGAAATAAATGCAGTTTTAAGTGGAAATAAAAATTATTCAAGGAAAGAAACAGTTCCTAAAAATAAAAATTATGTAACAAATAAACCAGGTATTAAGGAGAAAAAACCATGTTTAAAGTGTCTAACAACACATGGGTACGCTAAGTGTCCAGCTTTTGGAAGAAAATGTTACAAGTGTGGGGGTATGAACCACTATGCCACAGCATGTAAAGTAAAAAAAGTAAAAGACTTGGTTCAATCACAAATAGAAGAAAAAGAAGACTTATTTGTTGATGTAGTTCAAATAAATAAAGTAAAAGAGTCCAGCTGGTCAGAAGCAGTAGTAATCAATGGAAAGCAAGTACAGGTGAAGCTTGATACAGGGGCAGAAGTAAATATAATGTCCAAAAAGCTGTTCCAAGATTTGGTGACTGACAGTAAGAAGATGAAGCCAACAGAAATTATACTAGAAGCTTATGGGGGTACAAAAATTAAACCTGAAGGTAGTATTGATCTTGGTTGTATAGTCAAAGATAAAAAGTTTATAGTAAATTTTATTATTGTTAATAAAAATGCAAGAACTTTGCTGGGATTAACAGATTGTAGTAGGTTAGGTTTAATTAAAAAAGTAAGCTCTGTAGATAGTTTTAGTAGTAAGCAAGAATTTATAGATAGAAATAGGGACATATTTGAAGGTTTAGGAGAGTTTAAAGAGATTTGCAAACTGGTTCTAAAAAGTGATTGTGTGCCTGTAGCAAAGCCAGCGCGTAGATTGCCTTTAATAATTAAAGACAAATTACAGAAAAAATTGACCGACTTAGAAAAACAAGGTATTATAAAAAAGATAGAGGGAGCAACCGAGTGGGTTAATAGCTTAGTGGTAGTAGAGAAAAGTGATGGGAATTTAAGGTTGTGCCTTGACCCTCAGGAGTTAAATAAATGCTTACAAAGGGAGTTTTTTGAGATACCTAGTTTGGAGGAAATTAGTAGCAAATTATGTGGAAAAGAATATTTTACGGTGTTAGATTTTAAAGATGGATTCTATCAAATAAAATTAGATGAGGAATCTAGTAAAATTTGTACTTTTGCAACCCCGTTTGGATGCTATCGTTTTACACGTCTTCCATTTGGGATAAATGTAGTACCGGAGATTTTTCAAAAAATAAATGTTAATAATTTTGGTGACATACCTAACGTAATAATTTACTTTGATGACTTATTAATATGCGCGAGTAGTATCGAGGAGCATGATAAAATTATAAAAAAGGTAGTAGATAGGGCAAGAGAGGTGAATGTTAAATTCAATCAAAATAAGGTACAGTATAGAGTGACCGAGGTGTCTTATTTGGGACATGTTTTTTGCAGTAAAGGCATTAAGATAGATAGCAATAAATTAAAAGCTATTCAAAATATGAAATCACCGAAAAATAAAAAAGAGTTACAAAAACTAATGGGCGTTATTAATTACTTAAGAAAGTATATTCCTAATTTGGCTGAGCTATCTTACCCTTTAAGAGAGTTATTAAAAAGTAACATAATATTTATTTGGTTAGAAGTTCATGAAAATACGTTACAAAAAATTAAAGAGGTCATTAGCAATTCGGAAACTTTAACAAATTTTGATGTTAATAAAGAAATAGTCATACAGACAGATGCATCAATGAACGGTATAGGGTGTTGTTTATTGCAACAGGGAAGACCAGTAGCGTATGCCTCAAGGGGGCTCACAGAAACAGAAAAAAGATGGCCCATAATAGATAAGGAAATGCTAGGGATCTTATATGCGGTTCAGAGATTTCACAACTATGTGTATGGGAGGCCTATAACAATTATAACCGACCATAAACCGAACGTAGCTATTTTAGGTAAAGCAATAGGTAGTATACATTCAGCTAGATTACAAAGAATTAGAATTAAGCTATTAAAATATAATATTAAAATACAATACTTACCGGGAAAGTATATGTATTTGGCAGATTACTTATCAAGAAATTTTTTAAATGAAAGTGTTGAAGATGATACTGAGTTAAATAAAATGGTCCATTCAGTTAAAAAATACTTGAGAATCAGTGAAAGTCGTAAAACGCAATTTACAGAAATGACTAATGAAGATGTGATTTTACAAAAGGTTAAAGACAGAATATTAAATGGTTGGGTAAAACCAAATAGTGTCGAGTTATTAGTTTATTTTAAAATTAGAAACGACTTACATATAATAGATAATTTATTATTCTATAAAGATAGGGTTATAGTACCTACTAAGTTAAGACCTGAAATGTTAAAAATTTTACATGAGGGACATTTTGGAGTAAACAGAACAAGAGATAGGGCAAACACAACTTTATATTGGCCAGGCATGTCGGGAGATATAGAGTTAGAAATAAAAAAATGCGCAATCTGTGAAAGGTACAGATGTGTAAACAGGAATGAACCCATGATTTTACGGGAAATGTCAGAATTTCCATTTCAAAAAATAGCTTCAGATATCTTAGAATATAATAATAAAAATTATGTTGTTGTTATAGATTATTTAACTAAATGGTTAGAAATAATACCACTTAAAAATAAACAAAGCTCAGATATAATAGATGCTTTTAAGCAGATTTTTTCAGTTCATGGAATACCAGACATAGTTGTATCAGACAACATGCCATATTCCTCCTATCAGTGTAAAAATTTTGCCAGAGAGTGGGGCTTTGAAATTAAAACTAGTAGCCCACGATATCCTAAAAGCAACGGTTTAGCAGAAAGGGCGGTTCAAATTGCTAAAAATATAATAAAAAAATCTGACTTACATTTAGGGTTAATGGAGTATCGAAATACCCCAATAACGGGGCATTATTTTATTGATATATATCAAAAACAGAATTTAAATTACAACAAATGTCAAATCAAAAAAACGTCAAAATTCATAGTAACGTGTAAACAAGATGATAAAAATTATTGCCGCTGTGATAAAATACGTCACTATGGAATACTGGCATTTTATTGGTTCTAATATTAATGAATTGTATTGTCACCCATAATATAACTAGTGGTATGATTATCATCGATGATATTTTCGAATTGAAACCGAGCTGCAGATTTCACGAGTCCGCAGGACGAGTGAAATGTGCTGCTTCGGTTTTAATGAGTAAATATCATCGATAATTATCACTAAATATAACTCGTGGTATGATTAATTATAATTAATCATACCACGAGTTATATTTAGTGAGAAAATATAATGAATTTTAGGATTTAACGAATTTTTAGTTTGACATTTGAAATTAAAATGTGCTTTAAAATATAAAAAGACTTTAATAAACCTTATTTATTCAAACTTACCTTAACTTTATTATCGTTTACACCAACCCATCGATCTTTTAGAGTTTATAATTCATTATTTTAATCATTTAGGTAACAAACACAGTATTTAAATGACAACAAATGTCAAATCAAAAAAACGTCAAAGTTCATAGTAACGTGTAAACAAGATGATAAAAATTATTGCCGCTGTGATAAAATACGTCACTATGGAATACTGGCATTTTATTGGTTCTAATATTAATGAATTATATTGTCACCTGAATAGTAGTTTTATCGCTGCAAAACTGAAAAAACCACTCGTTTTCTGAAATCTGATTGGTCCAAAAAGTAATGAGTGGAATAGTCGATAATAAATATTATTGGCAATTTGACAGTGTCAAAGTATTTAATTAAATTCTTTAGCAGAAGTACCATTTTTAAATACTAAAAATACTAAGTCAAACTGGCATAAGCCACCAACCTTACAAAAAAACACGAGTCCAGATTTAAAAAAATGAACTGTATGTATAATTATAAACTTTTAAACAACCGTCTCGATTTGTCACGCCCGAGGGGGAGGTTTATTTAAATCGTCACGTGACAAATTACAAAGTAAGTTGAATTTAATTGCTCATTTATTCAATTTTTAGGCAGATTATTACAAAAAAGAAATGTGTCACATGACCCTTTGCGGGGGTCTTTACATCGTCACGATGTAGGAGTAGGGGTCAATTTTAGCTTTCCGAGATTTATAGACGGTCCCTAAAAAAATAAAGATTTGATTTTCCTTTATTTTTTGTTTAGATTTTTTTTAGAATTTTTTTCATAACGTCATGATGCTGTTATTTCAGAATTTAGTTTTATTATAGGAATTTTTTCCATTTTTTAAGTTTTTAAAATTTTGTGGGGTAGGTATTAATAATTTTAGTAAATAAGTATTAAAGTACTATAAGTTGGAATTTTTTAAATAAAATTAATCCTTTTTCATAGTAGGAATTTACAAACGCCAAGGATTTTTTTTTCATTTTAAGGGTTCAAGATTGATTTACAATTATTTGTAATTTTTTTCCCAATTTAATTATTTTTTGCATTTTTTATTCTTTTTCATTTATTTATTTAACATTTTATTAATTAAAGTTTTTTTTATATTTAGATAATTTTTTTTTACTTATAGAAAACATTCCGGACCTTAACATATCAATACAAGACATGTTGATTCTTGAACTTTTAGAATGGTTCAAAGAAGATTTTTTTGCTTGGGTTGATACTGTTGAATGCAGTCATTGCAGTGGAAAAACTAAATCTTCTCATATGAGTCAGGACCCGAAAGATTTAAAATACACTGACAGAGTTGAGGTATGTGACTTGTCAAAAACTTGATCAAATAAACATGATTATTATTATTATTATGAGTTACAATATCTCATTAAAAACATTTGTAACGTTCATTTAGATACACAAATGCATTACTTGTGGGAAGTTCAGTCCATTTCCTAGATACAACGATTTAAACATTTTATTGGAGACTCGGAAGGGCAGATGTGGAGAATGGGCCAAAATTTTCACTCTACTTTGTAGGGCCATGGGCTGGGATGCCAGATTTATTGAGGCTGTGGATGAAGATCATGTTTGGACTGAGGTAAGTACATTTTTTAAATACTAACTCGCATTTTTTTCATTTATAACACAGTACGACAAAATTTGATTTTTGGTCCCTCCCATGAAAAATTTCTACAGATTCTAAAAATAGAGTTAAAAAAATGATACCCGTGTCTCGGCGTTTTTTCACATCACGTCATAATTTTTTTTTAAGGGCTATCCAATAAAATGTTATTCACACTATTCGCGACATAATTTAATATACTCGATAACAGCTGGACTGCATAGTTAAAAATATATACATATATTTACTAAATAGATAGGCAACCATTATAGATGCATTTTTAAATTATTTTAATCTTATACAGAGTTTTGCACATTTATATATATATCAAACGGTTTATTTTTAAACCAAGTAACAAAATGTTTCAATTTTAAGCCAATCAAAATGCTTTAAAGTCGGGTGATTAAAATTTTTATTTATTCAATTTTTTGTAAAAATTGAGCTTTGTTGAATTAACATTTTTAAAAAAAATCAAAAGATATTTAAATGAATTGATTTAAGTCTTAAAGCAAGTGTACCTAAAATATATTTAATTTATGTAAAAAAAATATTTAAGTATACGAAGTCAATTGAAACAGCAAAAAAACAAAAAATTTACACATCTGCGGCATTTATACATAAAAAGCATTGTTTTCAAAACAATCTTTATACGAGGGTAATACTTTTTTTTTTAATGTTAAATAAAAACATTATTGCAGCGATAAATCGATACATTTTTCATATTAATTTTGATTGTTGAGTTAACCATCCATTTGAAATCAAAGTAAAAATGCAGTGTCCGAATCAAAATAATTTTTGTTATGTATGTGGTTTATTTGCACCTCCAAGCCATATGCGAAATATTACAAAAAGTGTAGTAACAGCTTTTGAAGACTATTTTTTGGTGACGTATATACCAAACTTATGGTGTGTACTAGAGGTTTTATGCGATTATTGTTACCGTTGTTTGCATGGATTGCAAGATAAAACACACAGTATGAAATATGTTGCACCAACAATTTGGCTTCGACCCGTCGCGACGTACCGAACACGCATCTGACCAGTGTTATTTCTGCATGTAAAAATTAAAAAGTTTTGGATTTCGATACAATACTAGAGAGAAAATTGATTACGCCGATGTAGAATCCGTCATTCTCGCAAGAGTGCGATCTGAAGATTATCCAACTGCTCCTTCAGAAAACATATGTGAGGATAAAAGTAAAAGACCTTTAACACCCAGTACAACCATTTTTTCCGAGATGGAATCTGAATTTATCTGTAGTTCGGGTTATAAAGTACATTTTATAACACAGGACATGAAAGTACATATGTCACTGAAAATACATTTTCTCCATGCTCATTTGGACTATTTTCCACCAAATTTGGGCGATTTTAGTGACGAACATGGCGAACGTTTTCACCAAGACATTTTAACAATTGAAAAACGCTTCAAGGGAAAAGACGTTAGGCATTTGCTGGGTGAATATTGCTGGTCAATTGTTCGAGATTCTGAAGCAATATACAGCCTGTTCAGAATAAAACCGAATATATCTATATATATATGGGGCGTGGCCTCGCCTCCCTCCAAGGCGCGTCACAGTTGCTTGTGTGATAAACGACATGACGAAAGGTCGAGCAGGTAAGGACTTAAAAAATTAAATGATAATAATGCAAAAAATCTCATTAGCGATGCAGTCTATTTGCTTAGCTACTGTGTCGCGCGTTGGAGGGAGGCGAGGCCACGCCCCATATATATATATAGATATATTCGGTTTTATTCTGAACAGGCTGTATAATCGTCAAACTAAACGACCAAGATTTTATTCCAACATGTATTGAATAAGTTAAATACAAAAATGTGTTTCATTAAAAAAAAATTTTAAAAAATTATTAAAAAAAAAATCAAAATATAAACTTTTTGTATATTTGTTTTTTGCATTGTGTAAAAACAAACAATATTTACAAAAAAATATATTTTTAACCGAGTAAAAAATGTACAATCTGTATAAGCATAAATAATAATAATGACGGCTTAAAATTTTTTTATGACGTGATCTCGTGAAACTGTGAGACACGGGTACGTTTTTTTTACCTCTATTTTCAAAATCTGCTAAAATTTTTCATGGGAGGGAAATCGTGTTGTACTGTGTAATAAGTAAAGGGTTTGGTGCAAAAACTCTCAAAATCCTTTTCGAATTTTTTCAATATCCTTTCTCGTCTTCTCACTAGGTATTTTTCCTCCACCAAACTCGTTAAAGGTGGACGCGCACTAAATCCACTCGGCTCGGCTAAGATCAGTTCGGTGTATGTAGCGCGCGCGCATTGACTTGAAGTTTCAAATTGATGCGCCAAGTTTGATACATCAGGAATAGTAGGCGGAAGGAGCGGTTCGTAGAGATAGCAAAAATAAATAATGGAAATGAGAAGCTCAGAAGATTCGAATAAAGAAAATAGGTTGCTGTAGGTTGTAATTTTTGTGGAGATTTCTTCCCATGCGTTTTCTTTTCGGTGTAATAATAAAATTTACTGTTTGGATCATACAGAATTTCAAATTTCCGTAGGGCTTCAATAAGTACTTTTTCTTTCACCATTTGCTGCTGAGTACATAAAAAACTGTTTGGCTTCGGACCGATCGGCAATGGTTGCCCCCTCTGGCATATACTAGCTGTGCCGAGCCGATCCAAAAGGTCTGATCCGAACCGATCCGAAGAAACAGTGCGCGGGCTATCGTTTTATCCTAGACCAAACTTGGTCAAGGCATTTAATCCTATGTTAATTAAAATATTTTAGGGTGCTGTGCCAAGCACCTACTTTTTTCTATTAATTCCTTTATTTGTTAGCACGAAAACATGGATCTAGGTATAATGTATTGTAATTTTATGAGGCGAGTAAGCTTGGTCGCGAGAAAAGTATTATGGAAATGTATGTAGGTGACAAAGATCTTTAGTCCAACTGCAATATTATTTTACAGATATTACTTAAATTACCTAGAGTAGCCTAACCTGACAGAGCCGGCTTAAGGCAATTGAGCGCCTTAGGCACTTACAAATTTGGCTCCTCTAACTAGATACTATACTTACGGGGCCCGGGGCAAATTTTAAAAATGCTTATTAGAGCCACCCCAAACTGTTAGCTTAAGGGCGCCCGAGCATTATAACCTAATTATTCCCTATGAATTAGAATACTTTTTATCATAAAAATTTTTTTTTACATAAAATACATAAAAAACATAAATAACATACAAACATAACAAATATAATGTAAATAAAAAGTGTTAGGACTTATAAGACACATAGAAGTGCCACTCTTGAATAAACGCGAAAACACCCAAGTCCTTGTAACAACTTTAAATGCCAAACTATTATGACAAATAAGTTGCGGACGACCACAGACACCTTAATAAATTATAGATTTAATAATCCCTTTTTAAATGGTTCACTAGGCCAGCGTAGCTCTGTTGCGGAGAAGGGCTGGGTTGTATATATATATATATATTCGTCTGTGGGCGCCACCAAGTTAAAATAAAATAGCTAGTGACCAAGGGCTGCTGTCTATAACGTGGAATAGGAAGTTATTAGAAAAAAAATTAAAACATTGTAATATAAATACTATACCAATTTATTAAGTAGGAAAACCAAAATTTGTTATAAGTTTGTTGTTGTTACCACATAAACCATTAAATGTACGTATTAAAGTACAAAAACAATCAGTATATTGTTACAATAATATATATATAATAATAAAAAAAATATATAATAATATTCAATAATATGAAAATATAAAATCCAAGGATCAATGACACAAATAAGTTTAAATATTTCTTTCGAAAGAATTATTCTTACAATTTAAATTATGACAAGATGAGCATTGGGTTAGCAACCAGAAGGTTGCAACCTGGTCTGGATAAACCTGGTTATACGAGCAGGTTTATCGACACCAGTTCGCAAAACATCTAGCAAAACTAGTCAATACTAAGAATTGAAATTAATATAAATATAAAGGGCTGTTGGCCCGTATCGAAACCCTCCAGCAACTGGTTATACGGCAGAAGCTGGATAGCTTCGGCACAGAACAACACAACCCAATATTAAAAACATATATGTATAAAAATTGTATATAAAAAGTTGTTGAAACGTTGAAGACGATGGTGCAAAATGTTGAAACGTTGAAGACGAAAAGAATTATGTATAAAAACCTGATGGTACAAAATGTTGAAACGTTGAAGACGGGTGTGATCCAAAATGAAAGGTGTAATCCAGAAGGTCGACAAGGTGATGGAAACCTGGTTGGCACGGCGAGAAGGCCTCGTGGATGAAACAATGCGGCTGACAAGCCTGCTCTACGGTGCTCAGCTCTGAGGTGCTCAGCTCTGACGTGGTCAGCTCTGATGTGCTCAGCTCTGCTCTCCCTCTAATTTCTCTGCTCTAAAAAGCAGGACGATTTAGGAAACATCCCCACAAATACGAGGAAACAAAAAAAAGAAAAAGAATATATACCTGTGTGTACTTCGGTGGTGGCTAAGATTGGCTCCAGCGTACAGCTGTAGTGTAAAACAAATACACCTTTGATTCTTCTAAATAAGCTTTACTCCAATATAAAATTGATGGCTTTCACTACTAAATATTACTTAAAATCAAATTGTGAAAAATTATAAGCCACGTGCTTTTACGAAGAATATAACACTTTGCCGTTCCGCCGACGTTCACGGTAATAGGGAAATTAGAAGAAGAGGCCGATAAAGGGTGTTTACAGGTATTTATAGATTTACACCGGAAATACTATAAAAAATGATATGATAAAATAATATAATAAAAACAACCGACGTAAAGCACCAAACGTCAAAAGTTTGGTGGACATGGTTGCCAACCAGGGAAAACTAAATACACCAATAACGAATCAATATAATCGACCAGAAAGTTAAATTAAAGATAAAATAACGAAAGATATTATTTGCCAACGTATCCACTAATAAGTACATTTTCATTGTAACAATAAAG